TACCAAAATGCGAGGCTATAGTTTTTAAATTAATTCATTATACATATTATACATATTTAAAATAATTCATATTGTACATATTTAAAATGATTCGTTATACATATTTATTATTTTTAATATCCTGTAATATTTTTATGTTATATACGTTGCATATCTAATTATTTTCTATGTTTAAACATGATTAGTGAAGTATTTGAATATTATTGTATATGTTATTAGTTAACTTTAACCGCTATTAATTAAAAAACTATTATAGTCTCGACTTTTTGGTATTAGGATTTTTGTCTTATTTTTAAGTCAGGAACAAGTTATTAAAATTTTGGTCACGAATTGTGGGACACCCCGTATGTACATAATATATATATATATATTCCAGAATAACAGCTATTACATTCTATTCATTTTTGTTATATAAAATGACAGCTTTGTTTTTGGTTTTCATAATTTCCTGATTGACAGCCTGTATATATTTGAGAAAAGATATCATGATAAATGATAACAAATATAAGATGCAAAAATTAAATGGAAGGAGTAATAGATTATTAAGAAGCATTACCAAGTTCAAAATTGATCAAGAATTAAGAGCTGATTTTACTACTCTCGGCGACACAATTATCATATAATTCTATCTCAAGGCAATGACACAGACAACCCAGCTGGTCTATTTCAGCACCGTGCCCGCACGTATACAGAGCCAGAAGTATTCAAAATAAGGGCTCTTTTGGAAGCAGCTTCTCTAAAATATGCTCCTTGTCAGTTTACATTAATAGAAAATTATCTGTTTATTACATTAAATCTTACTCTTATATTATAAACTGCTATTCTTAAACTTATAAAGAGTTTAAATTAAATTATTTTATAAAGAAATTTTCTTGCTTTTTTTCATTCAAATAAAATTGTAGATAACTTAAAATAGTAATAAATAAGGATAGAGACTGAATTTTCTCTAGTTTTTTAATATCTAGTTTTAATATTAATATTATTTTGAAAGATCTATTATTTTTAAGAAATAGATTTCAAATTAACTTTCTAATACAATGGGGAAAAATATTCAAACAGAAATTCAATTTTTATTAACAGAAATTTAAATTCGATTTCTTTAAGACTTAAAATTTCTACAAATTTCTTTAATATTTTTATTGTTAGTAGCTTGCACATCTCTGAGTTTGCATATGTGGAATGTGTTATACGTATTTGTATGGATTCTCTAATTGGCTTATCTCAATTAGTATATATCTTCAATACTGTAATAAAATCTTATATCTATTACATAAAAAAAATTTTTAAGGTAAAAACGTTTGCTAAAAAGAATATTTTACAAATGATTCTTTGATCTATTATAAATGTAGATATAGTTTCAGATATTTATTCCTTTCTTGTAATTTTTTATTTAAAATGTACACTATTATAAATTAGATAGATGGCAAAAATTTAATTTTACATATAGTTAAATTTTCGGGAAATAATGTATAACAATTATGATATATCTTATATTTAGGTGCACAAGCATTTTCCCGCAAACATCCTTTATCATGTTGGCTGTCCACAATGTTGTCCGTTTTTGCAAGCAGTATGCTGTGCAATGGATTATTAGGGGAACCAATTCTTGCACCATTGAAAAATACACCACAAGTGGTAGTTGCAACTATTGTGTGGTCAGTAATGTCTGTGTGGCTTATTATAATGCTTTGCATTTTATAAACTATTATTTTTTTAATATTATGTCAATTTTACAAAAACTATTCAAGAAATAAAAAAATTTTAATTAGAGAAAAATTAATGATATAAAATCAGTAAAAAAAATAAAATTATTTGCATTATTAAAAGGAAACTATTCTAAATGTTTCAGGTATGTGATATTTTACACACCGTTTGATATTGGATATAAGATCGCCAAATTTTTACCAGTTAAAATAGTATGTGCTGCTATGAAAGAAATTTATAGGCAAGTAAATATTGCTTATCAATTTTTTAAGATGTTTTTTTTATTTCACTATATACTTATAAGTACTATGTATTTGCACATATAAAAGAGAATATAAAAATGATTTAAAATAAAACGCCACAATGCATATAAACTTATGCTATTTTTTACAGGTGTAAAAAGGTATACGATGGAGTAACTCACGCAGGGAAACTTTATCCAAATGCATATCTTATTATGATATTGATTGGAACGTTCAAAGGTTCGTCATAAAACATGGAATATATAAACCAAATGAAATGTATATCACATTATCTTCGCTAAAATATACGAACGCACGCTGTAAAATAAGCTAATATATTTAACAGTTAACATATGTGCAATTATAATATTTATACAGGTAACGGAGCTGAATTTACCAAATTATTTGAGCGTCTCATACGTGGCGTATGGACACCGACTGCGATGGAATTCATGCAACCCAGTTTGTACGTAAAATTTATAATATTTATAATATTTATGTGAACAGATATTTAAATTATGAAGGAGGATACAACTTTTTTTTTCCACTTTTTCGCGATTCAGGGATCATTTTATTTCTACATTTTCTTATGTATTTTTCTTCGTAGAAACTAAAAATTATCATAATAATGATTATACTAAAAAAAATTGGTACATTAAAATAAAGAATAAAATCCTTATTAACTATTGTTACGAAATTGCTACAAAATAAGTGATATCATTATGAAATCGACCATGTTTCATTTAAAAATTCATTCAGAATTATTGATCCAGTTCGTCATTATTATGATATTTATCGATTTCCATGAAAAAAATACATAAGAAAATATATAGAAATAAAACAATCCCCGAACGAATCATGAAAGAAATTGTACCCTCCTTTATAATACATAATCATGTTTTTAACCGATATAAATATAATGATAACCAATAATTTTTTTTACAGTCCTACGAAAGCATCCATGGTTGCATCAATTATCTTTGTGTTAGATAAGAAGACTGATCTCATTTCTGCACCTCATGCTCTTGTGTACTTTGGCATTGTCATTTTCTTCGTCTACTTCAAGGTGAAGTCCATATTCTAATAAAATATCTCATAAAAATTTATACATTTGATACATGTAAAAACAAAATAATATTAACAATAATATCATTTTTCAGTTATCATCAATTTTGCTTGGCATTCATGATCCATTTGTGCCATTTGAAAATTTGTTCTGTGCTTTATTCTTGGGAGGAATTTGGGACTCATTGGCTAGATTGTTTGGTCGTGGTCAAGCTAAAGACGAGAAAACGGACGCAAAGAAAACGAATTAAATAACAGTAAACACAATATACATCTTTAAATATTACAAAACGCAAATACTTCAAATAAATCAAATCTTATTTCTTTTTCCAGAAAACATGATTTCATCAGAAGTGAGCATTGATTTAACAAATGATAAAATTATTTAAAGCTAGTCATATAAGAGTTATATGTGACTGTTGACAAATTTTGAAATGTTGAAGCTAAGTACAATAATTTAATATACAGGATGACCCATTTTAATTTACCTCCCAAAAACTTTTTTATTTTTAATTTTAGAAAAAAATATTTTAAATGAAAGTGGAACGGTTTTGAGGGAGATTTTTATTACGTATTTTGATTATGTTGTTTTTCTTCTACATGGAAATGCTAAAAAGATACATATATTTTATATTTTATTCTTGCACATATTAACATAAAATGTTAAATATCTTATAAACTATTACTAATTTTTTATAATCATACCTTGATTATCAAAAAACTAATAGTTTACGGGATACATTTTATGTCAATATGTGTCAGAATAAATTATGAAATCTTTCATAAACTATTGGTTTTTTTATGTCTTTACCTTAACACTTTTATATGTAGAACAATTATAAAAATCATTATGCAAAGAAATCATATAATTCTATTTAAAAAATTGGAGATGACATTTATACCTTTTTGGCGTCTTCATCTAGAAGAAAAACAACTTGACCAAAATATATCCTTCTCAAAACCATTCTACTTTTGTCTAAACAAAAATAAAAAATTTTTAGGGGTAGTAAAATAAATTAAAATAGGTCACCCTACATATAAATATATACATATACATATATACGTATACTTTAAGAGAGTGAAATTTATTGAGTTTTCAAAGTGTGTTATATAAAAATATCAACAGTATTATTTCAGTTAAAATAAAACAATTGATATACATATATTTCACATCATTTTTTTTTATTTATGCACTTTCACGTAAATGAAAAAAATTGCAATTACGTAGAATTTTAGTCTCGTTTATCAATTAATACGTTATTTGTGAATTATCTTTAATCTGAATTGTTATCGTCAAGAATAATAAGATATATTGAGTTATGTATAACGATTATAATTATATTCTTTATGCCAATTTTACATTTTACGTAACTTATTATTAGCTGATTTCAAAATTTGTTATCAAGTAGTACAATATGCAATTTTTACTATTATGCAAATACATGTCAGAATATATTCTGACAATTTGTAGCGTGTATTTAATATATTTCAAATAGAATTATTTTATTTATTCATTATATAATATTTATATAAAAAAGAAATGAATGTACTCAGGACAAATAATTAATAACTGATTAATGTCATTATATTGTAAATCCTATTAAATCATTAATTTATAAATCCTATTAAAAAAACATAATATATAAGACATTAAAATTATAATAAATCAATAATATAAAAACGAGCAATATGAAAAAATATCAAATGTTTTTTATACTATTTTATTAAATTTAAATACTGATATCATATATCATATACGTGAAAGTTTGCTTTGATTCATATCAATAGATATGTGTCCTTTACAATTAGGAATACCTATATTCTAATTGTGAAAATATTATACAGTTTCATGTAATAAAATGGAATTTGAATTAAAAATCGTAATTTATTCAATTACCTGCATAGAAAACTAATTATCGAACTATAAAGTTTATTTGTATGATTTATTTCACGTTTGTTAATCATGTTACATTCATGTAAAAATACTGCTTATACGTACGATCGTGACATTCTATACAAATCAGTTCTTCTCTGTGTATATTTATGTGATCTCGCATATAATGGGATTTTGGAAACACGTTGAGTCGATGATATTCCAAGATTTGTAATATTTGCTTTGATCCAATCATGATTACATGGCAATGAACTTCTGCATCCTTTGTAGTATCTATAAATCCCATTCGAGAGATTTGGTACCGTATGTAACAAAGATGTACGGTAATCTACACAATTCACTTCTTTCTCGCGTACATGAGAAATGCCAGGATGTAATAGTTCATCGTAATATTTTCTAACTGAATACTTCTGATACATGTTTTTCGAGTACTTATCGACGTTCCACAGAACACAGGCATCACGGACACATGTCTCCTTGTCCAATTTTAGAACACCTCCGCTATTATTAGATTTGATTACACGAATTAAAATAGGCTCACGATTTTGAGTGGCCACACTTATTTTTTCCTCAAAACTGGGATCGGTTACAATGCCTGTATCTTGCAATTGCTTCAGAGTATACTGAGTTTCCGAATCACGAAGCAATATCTGCGGCAATGATATATTTAAACCGATATCATGTTTTTCTGTACGTGCAGTAACATTTTTATCCTTGACAAACGGTTCATCTATCGTTGTTTCTACATATGTAGTATCATTTTCCGAAAGACTGTAATCTCTAATTTTCGATGTGGAGGGTTCATATAGTACTTCTACGTCTTTCAAGTTCGCATAAGAGGATATAAATTGATCGATATCCTCTTTTGTATCTTGAGTTTGAATCGAATTCAAAGCAGAGTTTTTCTTTGAAGGGCATGTACCTTCCGATTTGGATCTACAATAAAATTTATTTAATATCTGTTTCTTTGACCAATCTACAAGCGTATATATCTTTAAAATTTCATCTGCACATTCTTTTATTTTACTTAAAACGATAAATGTATTGATCGCATCTTCTTTCCTTACACAGTCTTTTTGTACTGAAAAAAATCACGATGAAAAGCTTTAATATACATTTACTATTTATAAAATATTCGAAAATACCAACCATTCTTGTTACTCGTTACAAAGACATGCTTCATTAGCTCTAAAAAAGTTTCAATAAACATTGCTATGGTGTTATCTTTCTCCGTTTTTTCCAAACACGATAAACAACTTAAGCTTTCTAGTTCAGCAGCAGAGTTAGTGCCAGAATGTATATTCTCATTTAGAAATTTGCATAGAATTTGTTCACAAACAGTCACCTCGGAAGCTATATAAGAAAATATGTTACAATACACAAAATTCATTTATGTATATAAAATAAATCTATACGTCGTTGTAAGAAATAATCACTACTTACAATTAGAGTTTACATCTATCTTTGATAAGTGCGACGTAACAGAATAAATGTTTGTTCTTTCTTGCATTACTTTTTCCAAGCATTGAAGTAAAGCTTGTGTTACTGCAGAATTGTGTTTGATAATCTCCATTATGTTGTGAGAGAGAAGACAGGAGCAGGTTTCTTTAGTGCAAACTTCATTTTCAACGAGTTTCTTGTTATCTAATGCAAAATAAGCTTTTTCCGCTTCTAAAAGAAAAGAAAGTAAATTGACAACGCCGTTTATGACATTCTCGTAAATATTTTTTTTATAATTATGTTGACCAAATCACATTATCTGTTTGTAAACCAACAGTAGTTAAATTTTATCAGATATAAAGTTTAATATAAAATAATTTAATTAAGAATGTATATTATATTACATTATATATGTGTATCTTGCAAGGAATGGAAAATTAAATTTAACTACGTTACTATTACAGTTACAAAAAAAAAACACCATTACCAAAAAAGTAACGGTAACAATTAACGCGCGTTACTTCTATTTCTTAATATCATGAGATTTAAAAACCTTTCTGATCATGATCACCAGTATCTTTCTGACATTTATTAGTTGTGAATTCCTTCAAATCTCTTTGTATCAATGGCAAATAATTTCCATCGGTAGTTATCGGTATAAAATTCGGCATAGAACCTTCTACGGTCTTTAATTTTATACCAATCGTATTTCGCATATCGTTTGTAGGATATTTCACAGTATTTACATTAATTGGCTTTACTTCTTGTGTCGAAGAATATATTTGAAAAACTTGACAATTATTTGGACTTGCACAAATAGTGTTCTGAATCTCCTTATCACATTGTTCCACAGTATTTATTGCTACTTCCTGAGATGTTAAAGGTTTACTTTGGATTTCTCTACAGCATTTTTGTACAATATCTGCCTTTGCTTTCGACACGCAAACTGTATTTTGTATTCCCTTATTGCGTTGCTCAACAATGGTCCCTACTTGCTTCGTTCGTCTTTCCGGAAATAATTGTTCGCTTTTGTTTTTCACACACAATTGTGTTTTTCTTGTACAAAATTTTGGTTTGGATGCAACAGATGCTGGTATCGTCTGTTGATTTATGTAATTGCAAGTGCTTTGTGGATAGTACATATAATTAGTTTTCGATACGTCTGCAGAATAGCCTGTATAACTTGGTAATTCACTAGAAAAGGTTGGACATGGAATTATGTTCTCGTATTTTCCTTGATACGTATTGTCTGTTATTCGATGTGCTTTGTATCCTTCGTAAAGTTTATTAGCTAAATTGGAATATTCTGGACAAGGAATTGTGATATTTAATGATTTTATTTTTTCGTAAGCTTTTTTCACAGTTTTTATATCCAATTTGTTAGGATTTACATCTTCCCAACCACAGGATGGACATTGCAGCAATTGTGCATCACTCTGCCCTTTGCTTTCGTGTTCTAATATATCAAAATTCCCTGGCACATAGTGTTTGAATGAGTTATAAATAAATTCAACATTTTATATCAGCAAATTAAAACAGAAATGATTATTTCTTAAGTACATTTTTACCAGATTTTATAAATTTACTGTTTTTTCTTGATTTCATCTTATAATCTTGCATACAAAGAAAATTAGATACATTTTTATATCTGCTGTTGTTGTCATATGATGTCATAATGCAATCTTTTACAGGAGATATCATTTTCACTGATCCTATTCTGTTCTGTCCATAATAATATGAATAATTCATTAAAATATTAAAATTTTTATTATTGATATCTCAATGTTTGATCTACCAATTTATAAATTATTTTAAAAAATTGATGTATACTCCTTTTAAAATAATTTCCTTTATATAAATAATATATCCCTTTCGAATTATATATATACAATACATATAAATTATATTATATATTTTACCTGCAACTTGCTTTCATCGTCAATCACCTTTGTTAACATTTCAGTTATTATAGGAAACCAAGCAAAAGGAGATTTGTATGATTTATCTAATTGAAATCCTTTGATAACTCTTGTTTGTTCCTGTCCATATCTAAGATAAGAGGAATACTTTTAAAATTAATTCAATCTGGATGAGTAAATATCGGATATAAATTTTCGTATCAAAAATAAATAACAATTTTTATCGTTTATGTTTTACTCTCTTATATGTTAAATTTTTACTTTTTTCTTATCACTTTAATCTGTTCTAGACAATCAGATATATTCAATTCGGGTATATTAAGTTCTTTAATTATATTCTTGAGTGCATCATTTTTGGCTAAACAATCATAATATTTCACATAATATGGATTCCAAAGACATGGGTGCTTTTGATATGCATTTAAAAAAACAAGAGTAATATTTTCGTTCCATTTTAAAGACATAATATTATTTAATTCATCAATAGCAACACTCAAGAGATTTATATATTTTACGAATAGAAAACTTACACAATTTCGCTTGACACTCACATGAAGAAAACTGCGATTCTTTATTAAGTCTTAAGTGAATATGTCTATTTATATCAATCATATTCGATATAACCAGATGTAAAAAAACCATAATAGAACCATGATGTCTTTTTATATCAGCCAGGGAAAAAATGTTTTATATATAATTGTATATAAACTTACATATAAAATTATATATAATTATGTATAAAATGATATTAAATTCTGTATAATTTTATATAATTATCTATAAAATATCTTTTTCCGGGACGGATATAACGAGAATTTTTTATTGTTTAATATCAATTTATACGTACATAATTACTTTATAACTATTTACTTAAGTATTTTCTTTACAAAGTATATTTTTTCTAGACAATAAAAATATTGTCAGTAAAAAAGATCACATTATTTATATTTGTTAATATTTTTATTGATGTTTATCATATATGTGTGTATTAATGTTTAACTAGAGAATTTATTTCCTCTCAATATATAATTACACTTATACATAAACCTAACTTTAAATAATTATTTAAACTAAAAATATTTATTGCCATCACATTAGTACTTCAATATTACCAAGATATTTATTCTATTCTCGTCTATTACTTGTAACAAAATCTACCATAATCCTTGCTTTCTTTAATTTTAGCAAGTAATAAACATTCCTTTAATGTTAGACCACAGCTACAAGTTTCATTTTTACACATTACTTGACAGTAATTACAATCGCAACAGCAGATTGAATTGTTACTTTGATCCATTAATTTAGATTCTAAAATTTTTAATCGCGCTTTTGTTACCAAATTTTGTATTTCCTTTTCCAATTCCATAGCTGTCTCTAAAAACAAGCTATTTCAGTGACAATTATTCCCTACTATGATCAATAGTAAGTCAATTTTACTTACGAATATCAATAGTTCGTAATTGAAACGCTATGCTTTTCCCGAATATATCAAAGTTATCTTCAATTTTTTTTCTGCCATACACTTCTATAGGAATATTTGTGCATGTAGAACGATCCTGTTATAAAAGATTTTATATTGTTTCCTCCTTTCCTCTTGAAAAATCAAATATTATAAATTACTCGCTGTTACTTAGTACACATAAACCTGTTTTCCTTCATTGTCGCCTGCGATGTATTTTCGCCCCTATTAACAATAATATTATAACGTTATTGAAAATATCTGTATTTTATACTCTTTACTAATATCTTGTATTTGTTTCTAACATGGAGCAAATCCGTTTGCGTTTCTTGTTCTACGGTACCATTACTCGTTTCTGTCGCTACATCAACCGTTTGGATAGTTGCAGAAGGGACGAGAGCATCTTGCAATTTCTGAACAGAATGAACGGTATCTCTGCACTTGAAAAATATTGTAATCTTATTTCGTGATGTCTCATAGAGATATACAAAATATATAAATAATAAATCAATTTTAGACCTCAATTTTAAACACAACTCAATCTCTTGGAGTTCACACATTCCACAGGTATTATTTGAACAAATCTGTTTGTTCTCTGATTTCTCAAAAGATGAATGCAAAAATTTATCTTGAATATTGCTACCATGAAATTTCTTATGGTTGTCATCTTGCTGCAAATATATTTGTGTGAATTGCAATATCACAAATATAATATAAAAATAACAGACGCATTATAAACATGAACAAATTTATAATAATAATTTTAAAATTCACAACACAATATTTATATATGATTTTATAATTACTAGTATTTTATAGCACGCAAGTATAATTTAACAAAGAAATCTGTATAATTATTTTTCATATACTATTTTGTTGCATACCTTTCTAAAATTATTATGAGATAATGACATGTACGGGAAGAAAAGTATATGCATTCTTTTAAACCATTTCGCTTTTGGAACGTATAATTTTTCGCAAGATATAGCTGCAGCGATTTTTGATAGTTCATAACAATATTCTTTTTTTACATTCGCAATCCTATTAATACAATCACATATTGTTAATCCAGGAATATTAATGGAATTTTTTATCTTCTTATACGCTTCGTAACGCAACGATTTGTTATTGAACTCGGGATGGAATGGATTCCACAAACATTGATATTGTCCATAAAGTGCTATTAATTTCTCGGTATCATCCTCGGTCCATGCATTTGGCATATTAAAAAATATTTTATGATAAATCAATTAGGTTATTTAACCTTCTTAATCAATACTATCAAGATCAAAAAATAGATTTAAACACAAGTTTAAACACTGATTTGTATTTAGCTGATATTTTTTTATCAGAAAACGTGTGTGATTGGCAAAGAAAATATATCACAAATGTTACAATATGCTTCTTCATTGTACCGATCGATTACAAATACATAGAAATTTAGAAAGAGAAGAAAAAGATGAAGGATGCAATGTATATGTGCATCATGACAAAATAAATGACAGGTTTAGAATATGGAAATGAAATATTAAATCTCATCACAATTTCAAATATATTTTCATACATATTTCTTTTTTCGTATCACACATTAGTAGTATAAATATAAATTGTCTATTTGTTTTGTAAATTTTATACCTTATGTTTACATGACAAAATATCTTTTGTTGTTCATCAAGTATGCAATTCCTAATTTATAACAATGCCTCATATTCTACTTTATTGCTACAATTTATGTTTTCTCTATTGCAATAGGAATTCATTTTCTTAGATTTCAGCGAATAATTGGTCGTTTTGTTAAAGTTTGAAAAATGCGGGCGGATTTATAGTTACAAATATATCGCTTTTTGATTTAGTAGTAGCATAATTAAAAAATAATAGTACTACAATTAATATACTATTATATATGTTTAAGTTTAAATGTTATATATATGTATATATATTTTGATTGTATCATATGGCAAAGTTCATCATAATTTATATATGATAATAATCAAATATTTTATAAAATCAATTAATTGCATAATGATCTCTTTCATGGACTAAGAGAACTGCAGATACTTGATAAAATAACTAAAAAAATGTATACACAGCAAGATTGTTGTGTAATACACATTATTGATAATCAACTGATAACAGAGTTACATAATTAAACCGTAAGCGGGTTTATACTTTTCTTTTCAACAAAAATATATATCCTATTTTCTAGAAATTAGCTTGACTACTCAATGATATACTACGTTATTTATAAATTATATATACAATATTATTTTCGTATAGAACAATTATACATAATGTATATTTTTCACTCATGATCATCTATTGTTAATCTATATTATTGTATCTTACTGTGCTTAAATCTATATTACACGTGTTAGAACTATTTTTAAGAAGTTGTTCTTAAGAAGTCGTTTCAATTGTTGAAGACAATGTAGATAGCTGCTGTGGGACGAAGTTTACAACCTCATGGTACACAAGTTCTATAAGTGACAATATCCATTATTCAATGTGATAATGTTTTAAAATAGGCATTAGTAAAATGCATTACCTTTCCATTTCTCTACTGGAAGATCCATATCTTCGAAACTCTGATCGTATGGTAGAGAAACAGGTTCATCGGTTGGATCCGCATATTGTGCAAGATATGGATGTGCTAAAGCCTGTTCCGCTGTAATCCTTTTTTCTGCATCCAATTCCAACATCAATTCCAGCAAATCAATAGCTAGACAAAAATTCAATATGATTTTACTTGCATCGTTCGACAATTATAGATATAAATTACCAAACATTTTTTTATTTACCTAATGGATTAGCCCCACGAAATACTTCTTTGAAATTTTTTTTCTTTAACGGTGGTAAACTCTGAATATAATTTCTAGCCTGTAACAATAATTCAATTATGATAGAAAAATCATAACATCATTTATATAAATTAAACTATATCCTACACATGTACACTATATATTATACTTTCTCTATATTTCATATCTTTATATAAATCTTCCAAAAGTTTTAAATTAACATTTTGATGATAACAGTAAAATTATGAATTGTATAACCTGAAGCATTATAAACAAAATATATATAAACATAAATATTATATATTAAGATATCAAATTGAGAGTCAAAAGTTAGTTTTAAAAAGTACACATTTATATTTCTCTTACGTATGCATAATGATTATTGATTACATTTTAAGTTTTAATATAAAATTTAATGTATATGTAGATTTAAAAAACAAATTTACCTCTTGGCTAGTAATTTTGCTTAATGTTTCTTCTGTGGGTGTACCACAGAGTACTAACACTCGTGTTAGGTGATCAATGTCTGCTTATGGTTAAGGTATGTTTGGAAAAGCAGTATTAATTAAATAATAATTAAAAAGAAATTTTATTAATGTGCTAAATACATAAAACCATTCCCATAACTTGGAAGTAATTGCATTTAAAGCAAGCTGCATACTTGTTATAAAGCAGCGTGAATTAGAGTTGTAAATAGACATCAAATGTGAAAAATTTAACTTTATACAGTATATTTCATCAATACGCTATATTTGTATACATCAAATTTTATGTAAAATTTAAACTTTTTTTTTGTTAAGGCATATTATATTACAACTTTGAACTTATAAAATCTATGTTGCTTGAAATTTTCTCATTTAATATTTGTTAAAGCATACTTTATGTTATAACTTTGAACTTGAAATCTACATTACTTGCAATTTTTTCATTTAATAATTATATGTAAATATACACTATTTTTAATTATTATTATCTATCAATATAATTTATCAAAGTACAGATTATTTGTTATTAGAACATTGTATTAAATACTACGTCAATGTTAAATCCAAGAATTTGCCAAGATGTAATATTCATTTTCATTATTTATTTTACTCGTTAACAAGAAAAAGAAAAGATCAAACATAATTCACATTTTATGTAAAATGTATAAAACGTGCATACTTCATGCTATAATAGATAAAGTAACTACGGTAAAATAATTAAGACTTACCGATTCTGACGATATTTTTTTCATAAACTCGTCTCGTGGAGTACCCAAAATTTCCATAATTAAATTCAGTTGATGAATATCTGCTCTTGCTAAGGCTCCACTATATTTTTCTTTAAAAACACTAAATATCCCCTTTGTTAAAAATATCTATTATTTTTAAAAGCAATATGCTACATGTTCTAAATATATCATTAATATTTTTATATATACAATTTTTATATTTTACTCATGCTGAATCTGCAGACAACTTTTAGATCTATGATGCAAAGTGTAAGCAGATGGCTTTCTAAAAGCATGTTAAGCAGAATATATACAATGATATTAGATTTAAGAGTTCAATGCATCTATGGGATATCAGTTACAATAGATCCTTAGCAAAAAGCATATTTAAAGGACGTTGCAACTAAATGAGACAAATGGAAATATTTATCAAGACTAATTAATGAGTTTGTGTTAAAAACAATAACATACATCTATCACATACTTTATGAGAAAAAGATGAAGATAAAAAAGACTGAATTAAAGTAATACAATAAAAATTCGTCAATAGTAACAAGGATACGATCTGTCCCAGGAAATAGTGTTCTTCCGGTTAATAGTTCTGCCATAATGCATCCAACTGACCAAATGTCAACTAAAATGTACAATAATAGTATTACAGCATTATATGATTATATATAAGATAAAGCAAATAAGATATATATCGTTATCTTTTTCTCTCCCTCTCATTCTCTTTTTTCTCCCTCTAATATAATTACTGACCTGTTTGATTGTAATGCATCCAATTAAGCATAATTTCAGGCGCTCTATACCACCTAGTGGCAACATAGCCGGTCATCTCGTTCTCTGTTGGCCTGGCCAAGCCAAAGTCCAATATTTTCAACTCACAATCCTCATTAACCGCTATGTTAGATGGTTTCAAGTCCTATTGATCAAATCGGTGAGAAAGTGCTTCTATACTTTTAACATTTTGTATAAATATATGCGATGCATGATCGTACCCTATGTATGATTCCTGCAGAATGAATATATTTCAAACCACGGAGAATCTGGTAGACAAGAAATTGCACATGATCATCAGAAAGCTTTTGCGTTCTGACAATGTTATTCAAGTCGGCGCCCATTAGATGTGTGACTAGGTATCTGTATAAATAAATAATATAATTAAAATATGAATAAAGTAAGATTAATTTCACATAACAGATATGGTACTTACACATGTTGAAAATCTTCCAAAGACGAAGACGGATGGAATACATCTAACAGTCCTATTACCTATAAGAGAACAACACATCTCTTTAAGATTAACTATAAACAGGGACTGTCTACAAAAATACAATCCACTTAAATCTATAAATGTTTCAAAGAATTTTTTTGACCAATTAAAAAAAAATTGTACTAATCAGGCCTGTTCTTTTTGGCTGAACTTTTGCACCAATTCATCTTTCTTCTTTCCTCCTGAAGAGAAAAAAGTTCAGCCAAAAAGAACAGACCTAATATCTTAGAATGCTTCAAAGCATTTGTAGTATTAAGTGGACCATAGTCAAAATGCCTTGATAATTGTGTTTACCCACATTTTCATGATTCATATGTTTTAACATACGTAGTTCCCTGTACGTGCGTTTTGCGTGCACAGCTGACTGAAATGGTCTGGCTAACTTTTTGATCGCCACCTTTTGCCCAGTAGTTGTATCTACCGCTGAACTGAAATAAAATATGTATTATTTTTTTTTAGCAACTCATACTCTTTATTGGCATTTTTTTTATCTGAAGCATTACAATAACCTGCATTTATTGGAAAACAAGAAAAAAAAACAGAAATCTAAATATAGCAAATAACTAAATCTTAATATAGCAAATAAGATTTGTTCGCATTATTAGCATTATTTCTCAATAACATCGTGTGATTTGATAAACATCGTTCTAAACTTATTTTCATAAAAGTGCGGGACGCGTGCATAAAACTCTCGGAATTAACACCCCCGCAATAATTATATTCCAGCCGTTCTTTACGGCAGAGAATAATCACGCGATGACGATCTTGCCACTCTAACGCCAAAAAGGTAAACGTCAAGGTCCCAGTAATGAAACGTTGTTCGTTCCAGCAATTTTCCATTTGACTGTTAATCGATCGCGATTTCCTGATCAATAGTTAACAAGCTGCACGAGGCGCACAAGAAGAAAGCTTTTTATAATAAATTTTATATAATTTAAAATTAAAAAATTTGTACCTGAAGCATTAGATATAAATTACAAAAATATTAAATCAAATTAAAATGTCTCATTATCGAAACCAGACATTGCTATGTAAGACAAATTCAAAGGACAAACTCAACAAGAGTGAAGAATTTTTTTGCGACTTACATCCATATTTTTCTACCAATATAGAATTAACTCTAATCTCGGTTTTATTTACTCTTTATTTTTTTCTAATTCTTAGAATTATGCTCGTTTCTATCAATATAATAACTTTAATCTCGGTTCAATTTACTCTTCATTTTTTTCTAATTCTTAGAATTAGAAAAAACTGAAGAGTTAGTTGAATCGAGATTAAAATCAAACTACATTGATAGAAACGAGCCGTTTCTATCAACTTAACTAGACCGTTAAGATTAACTTTAATCGCGGTTTAATTTAATAATGTTTATCTTTTTAGTTCTTATAATTAGAAAAAGATTAGAGTAAATTAAATTGAAATCAGAGTTAATCTGATATTGATGAGTACCAGATCTTATCGCACTAGTGATTGAAGAAAGAAAGGAACTATTAGCTAGCAGCTTCTTTTTGATTAGTCAAAAGACGCAAACGCAAATACAAACGTAATCTGCAATCGCTAGTGTAATACAGGTATTAGAACTAGAAAAAATTGAAAAGGTATTAATTGTATCAAGATTAAAGTTAATCTTCATTAGTGAAAATGAACAAACAAGAACTCCAAAGGAACATTTTTATAATAAAATTCTATAATAAAAGTGATATCTGAATTAGGTATAAATTACAAAAATATACATATAATCAAACTAAACATCTCACAAAAGAATGTTCTAAATTGCACAACAAAAAACTTACTTTCTAGTCGAAAAATCATGTTTGAAATAGATATTCTGGACAGTTAAATATCGAGATCCTATGAATTTTGTCCTTAACTTGGGCCGAAACATATTTGATCATTTTAACTTAAATACACAATATCTCGAAAACAATGCATTGAAAAAAAATGTTTCAAATAAAAATTATAGAGTTTGAAGATGACTATTAGATGAACTACTTATAATAAAATTCAAGTTGACTGTTTTCAGGTATAAAGTGAGCCCTGGCTCCAAAATCTAATTAGCTCAAGGCCTTTTTCAAAGCTTACAACTTTTATTTGAAATATCTTTTTGAAGTATCTAAAAAATGCATTGTTTTCGAGATGTTTTTTGTGTCTGAGTTAAAATATGGCCAAACATATTTCAGCCTAAGGCCCGATTGCACCAACATTACTTTGACTGAGCAAGACTTAAAACTCTCTCTGTCTTGTTTTAAAGTAAAAAAGAGACAGAGAAAGTTTTAAGTCTTGCTTAAAGTCAAAGTAACATTGGTGCAATCGGACCTAAGTCAGATACAGAATCCATAGAATTCCTAAGATTTGACCATTTAGAATTTTAAACGTCTTTTGACTGATAATATTAGTTTTTTATATCACTTTTATAATCTAGAATGTTCCCTTGTCAGAATAATTAAATTAAATGTATCAGAAATATACGCATTGCGACAAAAGATAAGTTTAAAGGAAAAGATTGACAAGATCACAGAATTTTGTTGCGACTTAGGCCCAGTTTCACAGCTCACTGTTAACTCATAACCGAGGTTCAACTTGTTTCTCATCTCTTTCCAATTCTATAATTCTAAGAATTAGAAAAAGATAAACAGTAAGAGTCGGTGATAAACGTATTTGACAGAGATTGCCAAGAGACTCTTGAGACTTAAGCCTAATTCCACCAATGTAAGATTAACTCTAATCTAAAGTAACTTTAATCTCGATTTTCTTAGAATTAGAAAAAGATAAACAGTAAGAATTAAACCGAGATTAAAGTTAATCTTACATTGGTGGAATTGGGCTTTAGTCAAAAGTCTCTTGGCAATCTCTGTCAAATACGTATATCGCCAAGGTTGTCTTCTTCTTCTTCGCGCGCGCGCGCGCGCGCGCACGTAACGTCAGGTGACGATTGTGCCAACGTCGTTCTCTGCTGACGATGTTGTCGCTTACCAGACTTGACCGTAGGCGCCCGAGCCCACGGGAGTGAGCAACTGATACCGCTCCGGTACCTCCCATTCCGTCCTGTTAATCTCGATCTTGTAAAACTGCGGCATGCCTTCCAATTGCGCACGTCGCGTTAGCTCCAACGAAAATCACGACGTGAATAACAGCGTTCTCTTCGTTTTCACATTCAGCAGAACCCGATCTCTACGCGCATCACATCTTCAAGTCGTAGCCGTTGCCGCTACGGATCCATTCATCCATCGCGATACAGTACAGACACTACAGACAGATAAGTGCAGGAATCGATCCCGCCGTACGATCGCTGATAATCGCGCGGTCTAGTTCTCGATACTCGATATTGTCGACCGTTCGATATTTTTTTCTGCGTTTGATATATCGAATATCGAGATATCTAAGGAAAGAACGATTAGAATGTTGATGGAACACTTTTTAAACTGTTCGTAAAATAAATATTTTAAGTATTCGTAGTTCGATTTTGTACTGAAATTATTATCTTGAATGTATTTTTAAATGATCCAATTAAAATCTTATCCAATTAATGAAATGACTAATGGAGACCCTACGAAAACAAAAATCTGAGCGTAAGTCGAATGTCAAGGCAGAATGACAAAAGTGTAAACGAAACTTCTAGAAGGTGAAAATTCAGACAATGAAACATAAAAAAGTAATTAAATATCTGGAAAATTTTGGAAAAATTAATTGTTTAGTACGAATTATAATAAAGTGTCCTTAAATTGAATTAAAAAAAATTTTTAACATGTTTCCAATAAAATCAGATCTGAAAGGATTAATTATCATCTTGGATGTTTCTACAAATGTTTATTAACTTTTATTTCGGTTTAATTTATTAAAGTTAATCTATATAATAGTGAAAGCCCAAGTAGCACAGCAGAGCTTGCAAAGTGTTAAAAATGCAATTATATGCGCTTTTTTTAGCGCTTTGTTAACGCTTTGTAAGTGCTGTGTGCTACTTGGGATAGTGAACATTGGCGACTTCGATCACACTTCAATTAACTTAATTTAATCTGCAGCGATTAAATCAATCAGCGAAATTATGAATAACAAAACTTTTAATTATATATAATTCGTTATTCCTATAATCTAATTTTTTTCATATGTTAGGCAACAATAATAATTACCAAATTAACGATTCTATTTATGTTTTATAATAATTAATATATAATTAATAACATTGTTAATTAATATTATTGAATAATAATAAGTTATATTAATCATGTTTTAAGAGAATCGGAGTAGAAGTCATAAATACAATTTCGAAAAACTGGATTTTTTTCGCTACATTTTTTTAAATTGGTATAACATACACGCTCATACATTTTAAAAGGAGAGAGAGAGAGAGTGAGAGAGAGAGAGAAAAAAAAAAGAAAAAACAAGAAATATACGAAGTGCAGAAGGTGTAACTGTGATGAACACATCTTGGCAATTTAATGACGCGACGTCCACGTTGTGCGCGAGCTTTATTAGTATAAGATTGTGCTTTTCACTTTCACATTTTCCCCTGTGTATATACATGCTACACGACAATTATTAAGAGTTATGTATTAAATTTCCCCTAGTGTTACGCATTATCATCATTGACACATGAATACTGCCGAGAAGGAAGTGATGGAGGAGTACGAACCTTCCATCAGAAACGTGATCGAGCAACATTCTTTACGATGGATATTCGTGGGTGGCAAAGGCGGAGTCGGGAAGACAACCTGCAGGTATACATAACCTGGAAATGTCGTGTTAGTCATGTCTCGGTGATGACAATCAATAAAAAATCCTGTTTGAGGATTATTTCTCATCGGATCAGCATATCAGCTGCAACCTCGCCTTCTGTGTGCAATTGCGTCCATTAATTTTTCTTTATTTTCTGTCGTGTCATTGCACTTAATAAATTTATTATATATAGATATATATATAATTATATAATTGTATATAATTGTATACATATTTAGATGTACAATTATATAATATATATGAATCATATATATATTACATAATATATGTATATAATACCGTAAATGTGGGTGACTTGGGACAGCATGTATTTTTGTTAAATTCAATCATGGAATCCATCGATGAGTCTCTAAAGGAAGTTTAAAACTTAAACTTAACTTAACTTCCTTTAGAGACTCATGGATAGATTCCATGATTGAATTTAATAAAAATACATGCTATCTCAAGTCACCTACATTTGTCCCAAATCACCCACATTTACAGTATATATCACATATTATATAAATAATTTTATATATATTATTATCAAATAATTATTTTGATATAACAAAATATTCTAAACCTCTTTCTTTTTTAATAAAATTATGAAAAATATCTTTGAATTTGATACTACTTTTTTATGGACTTTTTTTTATAATAAAGCAATGTTTTTATACTATATATCCCACATATATATCTGCTGCTCTTTAAATAAAAAAGTTAGACTAATCTAAATCTTTGTTTTGCAGTTGTTCCCTGGCAGTACAGCTGTCCAAAGTTAGGGAAAGTGTACTTATTATATCCACAGATCCAGCGCATAATATCTCTGATGCATTTGATCAGAAATTTAGCAAAGTACCTACTAAGGTGAAGAGTTTTGATAATTTATTTGCAATGGAGATCGACCCTAATGTTGGCATTACAGAATTACCAGAGGAATATTTTGACAGTGAAACAGGTTTGTCTTCGAAACACTTTTACTTCGATCCAACATCTATAAATCATTTTGGATAAACAGTTTTGTTAGGAATTATCAATAATAAAAACATAATTTATCAAATATTATAACAAAATGTATAATTAAAATTAATACATAAATAAAATTATATATAGTAATAACTATTGCAATAATTGCTATGAAGTTGAAGTAAAAGAAGTAATATTATGTGCAAAGTTTTAAAAATATTTTCTATTATGTTATACATTCAAGATATTATAGTTATATAATATTTATTATATTAAATACATTAGACATATCACGTATAGTTTCAGGAGGAGAAGCGATGAAATTAAGTAAAAATGTTATGCATGAAATTGTCAGTGCATTCCCTGGTATAGATGAGGCAATGAGTTATGCAGAAGTTATGAAGTAAATTTACAATTCTTTTATATTTCTTATTTTTATGAAACACTAATATAATGATAAGCTCTCTTTGTAGTGAACTAAAATTACAGATACATCTGAAATTTTCTATTTCCTATTTTCTTTTTTTATTTTGATATCTTTATATGATGGTTCTAGACTTGTAAAAGGAATGAACTTTTCTGTTGTGGTGTTTGATACTGCACCTACTGGGCACACATTAAGGCTACTATCGTTTCCACAAGTGATTGAAAAAGGATTGGGAAAATTGATGCGTTTAAAAATGAAGATTAGTCCCTTTATCACACAAGTTAGAATTAGTTCATTACTTGATCTAAAAAAAAAAAAATTAATACTTATCAAGTATATCAAATATTATCCCTGAATTATTTAAATTGAAAAAAGATTTTTCTATTATAGATAAGTTCATTGTTGGGATTAACGGATTTTAATGTGGATACATTCTCTAATAAAATGGAGGAAATGCTTGCTGTCATTCAGCAAGTCAACGAACAGTTCAGAAATCCTGATCAAACGACTTTTATATGTGTTTGCATAGCAGAATTTTTGTCGCTTTATGAGACAGAGCGACTTGTACAAGAATTAACAAAATATGGTATTGATACCCATAATATTGTAGTGAATCAACTATTATTCTTGAAAGAGGGAGATACTCCTTGTCGGCTGTGTCTTGCAAGGCATAAAATTCAAGATAAATATCTAGATCAGGTAACTGATGTTGTATTTATGAGTGATATTATTTAAATTTGTTTTTTTCGAAGTTTTTTGTAAAGATCTTAGTATATTTTATATTTAGTATATTTTATATTTATCATTTTGTCAAAGTGCAAATCAGAAAAAGTACAAGATAAAATTCTCGAAAGATGAATTAAATGTTTTTTTCCTTTTAAGATAATGGATCTTTACGAGGATTTTCACGTCACAAAGCTTCCGTTATTAGAAAAGGAAGTACGAGGAGTTCAACAGGTCAGGGAATTTTCGGAAAATCTCGTTAGACCGTACAAACCTTAGCATTTATGTAATAAATGTTTAATAACAATATAACACTTTACACCTAATTCAAGGTTTTATAAACTTGCAACCTCGCGCGTTGGAAATTTGTATAAAAAAAAAGGTACACCTTTAATATACTGCTCGATTAAGATATTTGTTATTGCACGTGTTAATAAATTCAATGTTACATTCGCATGCACTATATATTTGCAATATCTAATTTGTATAATACAAATCAGCTTAAACACGGTAGCGCATTAACATTACGATTTATTTATTTATATAATGAAACAGAATGCATATTGAAGAAACTAAAATTTATCATTTAGCATATTGAAATCAATCATTCAGTATTTCTTTATTGTTATCGACGAAATGCTCTTATCGGTGCTCTCTCTGTTATCAAAAATATATTTATTAAATTACCGCAAGTTCTTTTCCAATTTGTATGAAAGCATTCACAGCACGATCTATATCTTCAGTCGAATGCGCTGCGCTAATCTGAACACGTATTCGTGCCTTATCTTTTGGTACTACAGGATAGCTGAATCCAATGACGTAAATTCCTTTTTCTATAAAAACCATTTTCATACAATGTGACAGAATAAATTATAAAACTTTAATAACACAACATGATAGCTGTTGTATATTTTGTCATTGATAGTTTTATTCCTTTAGACCAGGCTTGCCCAATTGCGCTCCGGAGCCAAAGCTCAAAGCTATTGACGTAAAAAAATCAATACGGGTAAGATTTCGGAAATAAAGTGTTGATACACGTCTGAGCGATGCTTATCAACACTTTACAGTCCATGAAATCTTACATTGAATTGTTCTACGTCGATGGCTTTGCGTTTTGGCTCTGAAGCTCAAATTGGCCTGCTTTAGACTCTATAATTTATGTGAAAAGATTTTATAATTTATATGAAAATATATACATACCCATCATTTTATCAGCAAATGTTGTTGCTAACTTTGCGTCACCTAACATAACAGGACAGATAGGGTGATTATCGCCACTGATAGTGAAGCCGGCTATGGTCATCGCATTTCTAAAATGCTCAGTATTGCCTGCTAAACGATCCAAAAATTTTGTGTTGTCCGTTATAAGATCCATCACCTACTAGTAACGTTATATTAATTTAAATAAAAA